CTTTTTATGTTAAAAATTCTGAGGGTAGATTGCTACTCTGAATAGAATTTCAATATTATTGGGAACTACTTTCTATACTGTATGTGCATTATTCTTGACATTTTTTTCCATTTGGTTTTTAGAGGTATGAAGCAGATTCTATCTGAATTAGAACCGGACACAGACGCAAATACTATATTTGAATTAAAGGAACGCGCGCATATGTTTTGTGCTCGATTTCTTGGTGGCGCTTGGAAGGTTGTTGGAATTGGAGAACTTCAATTGGAACGATTGAAGTAATTCTTATGATCTGAACTTTTCCGTTTATTTGGCTAGAAACTAACTTATTAAATGTAAAGAAATCTTGGTATTATTAAACGACATTTCAGAGGTGGTATGAGTAATATGCTGTTTTTGTGTCGCCTTCCGGGCGCATGTCCACCACTCACAAACGAACCGGACAAAGTACTTTTGCGAATTTATTTTAATCCAGAAACCGAAAGTCACCTTGTATCGGAATCGGTTATCTTCACTTTATTATCAGAACGCCACCTCGGTCCGAAACTGTACGGAGTATTTAGCGGTGGGCGGCTGGAAGAGTATATTCCGGTATTTAAATTTTGATTGTTAATAGTTTACTCAAAAATACTCAAAAAATTTTGATCGTTGATAGTTAATAGTGAATAGTGTCATTTTCCTGCTTGAGCTTGCACGTGCTCTTTTTTGATGTTTTAGTCTCGACCACTTTCATGGAAAGAGCTTGCCCTTCCGGAAATGTCCTGTAAAATAGCACAGCGACTGGTTCGAGTGCATCAGCTGGAAGTGCCGATTTGGAAAGAACCTGATTACTTGTGCGGCGCACTGAGCAGGTAAAATGCCATTTTGATTTTTTCCCTAAGTGGGCACGATTTCTTTTTTTTTTAAATACTCTCTTGACTGATACAGTAATTTAAGAATATAATGTTTAGATGGCTGAAACAGCTTATGCAGACACCAAGTGGTGCACGAGAATTTGTGATTCCTAGCTGTTATTCAGATTCTGCTCCTCAAATCATCACTTGTGAAGATATTGCTAACGAGCTTGACTTTCTGAAGTAAAATTTTTTTGGTATGCTTTATTAACTACTCATATATATATATATGTGAGTAATCAGAGGAATTTGTGTTCGAATGATCATAACGATTCAAGGCATTTAGAAATGGCTGTTGAACATGAATTCAGCTTGCAGGAAATGCGTCAGCAAAAGTAAAAGCATCGTCACATTTTGCCATAATGATCTTCAGGAAGGTAATATCAGTTTTTTGTAGAACCGTGACTGTATGAGTTATACTTTATTGTATATCACTAAATATATAACCCTGAGATATCCCTACCGAAACAAACACGTTTATTCGTTCGTTAGAAGATTTTATTTGTGAGTTAACTAACTTGAACTGTTAAAGATGAAAGGTTTATTAAACCCTAAATTCCCAAAAGAATTAAAAGTTTTGATTAGCAAACTTGAGTAGAACAAACTTTTATAGGTAATATATTACTTCCACGATCAAGTTCTGGTAATATTATTACTCCATCGATTACGCAGCGGGATTCTCCGTCGGCAACAAACGCATCACGTCTTGTGATTATTGATTTTGAATACGCAAGTTACAATCACCGGTGCGCTAGGTTTTAATTGATATGTGTATTCACTTCCTAATAGTTAATAGATTCCTAATAGATAAGCATTAACCAGTGCAACATGATAGTTCTTAATGTTATTAGTTGATTACTTTAATGCGAAATTTTCTGCAGTAGTATTTGCTTTTTGCTGGGCAGATTCTTGCCCTACTGAAAGCTATGATTTTTTCTTTATTCGACTGTTAAATTTGTACTTTTATATTCGAAATATAGATTAGTGAAAGATTAGGTTTAAGATTGTATTTCACATTTATATCTGCAGTAGCTATTTGGGTTGTGAATCTGGTTAATAAGCACTCCTACACTCACCATGCCATGATCATATTCATAGGTGTATTATTATTATTCATTCATTGAATTAGCTAATGGATACGTTGTTTGTATGCAGTCCTATAGATTTATTATTTGTATTAAAGAAGCTTACAATTTTATAACCGGTCTTCTGTTAAGTTTTTTGGTAATGCGACGACCTAACAGAATAAAACACTTTCGGCAATCATTTTTTTGATGTTATTAATCAATGCATGATATGATATGATTTTTCATCTCATCTTCCAGAGGATTCGATTTCGCAAATCATTTCGTGGAATATTCAATCAACTATGATGTTGACAAAGCTCCTTTTTACGAGATAGATGAATACCAGTTTCCAAGCGATGAATTGCAATATGATTTTTTTGTTTCCTATTTGAATGAACTTGAGCCATTCTCTTCGATGGCCGAGTGCGATAAAAAAGCAAGAGCTATGATTGAGGTTATTTCACTGTCGTAACTGCTAACGGTTTTGCCGAGATTAAGTTTCAAGCTTTTATACTGTCAGATAAACAGTGGACAATTTTAGCAGTAAGTGTTTTCTACAAATTTTACTTGAAGCTTCTTAGAACTTTTAGTCTTCACAAAATTTAAAATTTGTGGATATTAATCCATCATCTTGATACATGCCATTTAATCAGTACTTTTGCAGGAAACGAGACCATTTATTCCGGTGTCTCACTTTTTTTGGGGCGTTTGGGGTTTGCTGCAAGTTGAAGTGTCTCCTGTTGATTTTGGATTCGCTGTACGTTTTTCATATTTAATTATACATATGAAATTTCACTAGTTTTTAGCGAAATAGAACTAAGCTTGTGTTATTATCTTCGTATTTATCTTCAGATTTCATCCAGAGGATTTCAGGAGTATGGGCGCGATCGGCTAGGTTTGTATTATAAAAATAAGCATTTGCTTCAACAGCTTCTAGAAGATTCAAACTGAGATTCAAAAATAACGGAATCAAGTCTGATGTTCATTGCATCCTAAAGTTTTTATTATTGTTCCTGATTGGGATGTATAACTTTATTTATTCATTACGTTGATCCAGATAACTAAGGTAATAAGTGTCACCACTAATGGAAAATAAATTTTTTTAAATGCTGAGAGTAAATGTTATATGGGATAGCACTTTGCTACAGGCGATATCTCAAATTTTTGAATACACTGAAGCGTGGACGATGGTATAATCTTCAGTCTTTGCAATAATTTTGAGTGGTGAGTTCTAAATCAATTCTATATTCATTACAGTTTTCGAATATCAATATTTTATCGAAATTTCTACCATCGTATTCCGAAGGTTTCTGTTCAGTTTATTAAGTGGAAGTATAACTTATGAAACATAAGCTAGTAACAATTCAAGCAAGCGCATGTGTATTTATTGTGAAATTAATATTTCTGTGGGTTATAGTAACAGGACGTATGGTTTTATTTTTTCCACAGTAGACGAGTTTCTATTGCATCTTTTTTTATACTGAATATTTGAATACTTATTGTGTTCAGACATGAGCAAGCGTTTCATTTTATTTTATTTTTTCATTGTTGTCGAGGAAATATAAAATCCGGTTCGGGAAATTATAATTCTGAATGGGAGATCTCTGGAAATTTTCACTGTAGACATTACTGGGAGCAAATGGAACAAGTCATATAGTCTGACAGAATTAATATTTGAATGGTATATAGGGTCTGATTGTTATGCTGTACAGTCATGTCCTTTTCCAGTGGAAACAACGGCGACTACTTTCTTTTCTAGGTGTTAGCTTCAACATTGTTGAATTATTGACTTGCTTTGACTTATACTTTTCCTATATACAGAATCTTTTATTCCTATTTCTTCTCCATATTTCGAATCCTTTAGAGTATAAAGACATCCATTTTACGAGGTCGGATGTTATAGACATTCAAGTTTTAAATGAACAAATTTTTTGGGAAGAAATCGTTTGGTTAATCATTTAAAAATGAAGTGAGATTTGAGGGGAATGCTCAATAGAAACATTCTCTATCTTAAATATTTGTATCTTTACCAGCATTGACAATCGCGCTTAACTGTAGAAGAGAGTTGTTTTCGTGTACACTTTCAGAAGTTAAGTCATATATCTTCCCATCACCTCATCACTGCAGTTTTTGTTTTTCTTTGATTTGTCGTCGCTGACAATTCTCGCAATATCTGTTACAGCTGCATCGCGTCGACAGGAGTGCTGGGTTTTACAGAATGGTATCCTCTCATTCCGGTGGAGTTGCTGACAGTAGCTTTTCTTAAACATTCTCTTTACTAAGTCAACAAAAATGCTGCTCTGTCCCTCCTTTAGTACTTGTATAGTATGACAGAAGACAAGCTTCATCGAAGCTTGTCTTCTGTCATACTTTTTCTTCCTTGAAACAACAGTGATTACAGTAGCATTATCCCAACTCTTAATAATGTAGTTGTGGTTATTGATGTTGTCGAGTTCTAGTCTCTGTCGCCAATTTATTTGTAACTCAATTTGCAGTGGTATCAGTCACCAATATGAACACACATGTTACTCCTTGGTCTAGTATGAAGTGTCAAGATGTACTTGCTATGGAGAAGTAGAAATTAATATCTTTAAAGTTATACAAAAGAAAATGAGTTTGCAATGTTAAAAAATATTCTTAAAAATGCAATATAACTTATGAACCTGAACATTTCTTATTAGCACGAATGTAAACATATCAAAATCAAAACAGCATCAAATTTTAAATTCAGGACAAAACGAAGGCAGGGTTTTCGTCAAAATCACAAGGACAAGTATTCATATTGAAATAAATTTCTGCATTCTCAGCACATACGGTTTATAATATACATGACAATTATTACTTTGTCTTATCGTGTCCTCATCATTACTACTGAGCACTACTTTGTAGATAGTTTTCATTGCACTACGCTGGACGAGAATTTTCGACATGTCTTAATATAGAAAAGTTAAAAGAATGAACAGAGTATGATTTGTGGATCTTCCCAGCAATAAAATTTTAGATTGGTAACAAAAATCATGCGGAACTTTTCAGGTAATTTATAATGATTTCTTTGTTTGTTGCTGTTGCGAATGTGGGTAAGAGATGGGAAAATCTCAGTACACTTAACTTGAATATAATGGATCGAAATTTATTTTTTGGTTATGAAATGTGTCGTTCCAACGAAGCTCAGATAAATAAGACAGAACAATTTAGGATGAATGGTGCTGATCTTCCTGACGAGTCCTAATTTTAAACAATAAAGACATAAATCGTCAAATGTTTCAAAGGCAGGCTGTAGAATAGAAGTGTTACTATCAAGATCTGGTCTTAAATTAGAAAATCAAAAAACATTCCGTATGCATATAACAACACTGCAATCGAATGTGATTAAAACGAATCAATAGTGTTGCTAAATCACACAGAACATTATCGAAGCAAAGCCATGACAATTTAATCAATTAATTTCGATTCCACCTCTCGTTTGTCTTTTAGAGAAAACCAGACATTTTGGAAAACAAGTCATTTCTTTTGACTTTGCTTACTTCGATGAGGTCACGTCATTTGATCAGTAATATTTGCAAGAAACAAAAAATTTACATGCACTAATACTGGTTGATGACACTTTTAGTTTCGTCCATTGTTCACTGTAGCAAATTTTCCATCAATTTCTTGATCGCTGGGATTGCATCTGGACCGCCACTTTGTAGTAGTGCCAAAGCTGCTAGTGCGCTTTGCTGAAATAATTCCACACTATAGCGGGCTGATTTCTGTACATCAAATTTGAGAAAAGTGTACATTTCCAATTTGGAACTTATCGAATAGAATAAAGGAATCTGTCAAAGTGACATTGATTAACTGACATTGATGCCCATCTCCAGAGCAACTATAGAAAGTCGGTGGTTTTCCGGACCCAACTCTGCATTGATCCATTATTTGCATTTTGATTACCTGGTAACCAATTAAAATCTCCTCAAATATTTCAATTTGATGTCTGAGTTCTTCTTTTTCATGTTCAAATTGTCGCAGTGTTGTGTCCAGTCCTGTTAGCTGAATATCCAGGTGGTCAGTTTTCCCTCCATAATTCAAAATTTTCGTTTCAGGAGACTGATTTCTCGTTTCTGTTACACCACATTTGATTTTTAGTACCTCCAAGCGAAAAAAATATTTTTGTTAAATATAAATTTACAACATAAACATAACAAAAAATTTCGTCGTGCATTTTTGGTATGACATGTCTAACCTAACATTGCCAAACGCTGTGAATTTAAAAAGTGAGGTACGTGACATACTTAACCACTGAATTCTTAACTAATTTTCTGTAAATGTTCATTCATCACCTAAACGTTACGCAGAAAGTTATATATATATATATAGTGGAAGATGTGAAAATTTAATTATTTTGGGAGAGGTTTGGATGTAAATATATAATAAAGGGAATCTATTTATCCATCTAAATATGTGAATATCTATCTATCTCATATATAGGCAGACAGATAAATTAGATATCAAGATTTAATAAAATATTAGATAAAACTTCGTATTCATCAATGCCATAGATAACGAAAAATCCATGTTTAATTGTAGGGTATGAAAATTTCAACATGTAACAGTATAATAAAGGCGACAAAAGAATTAGATCATCGGAGTGAAAAATGCAGTCGTTTTGAAGCACCTATCATTGGCTGATATTAAATAAGACCACAAAGATAAGTAAAATATTACCGTGCAGTCACATCTCTTAATAGGACTAGTAGAAGCATCAACCAGTGTGACACCATTCGGGGTTGTTCTGCTCACTGTTGTTGTTTGAGGAGGAAGGTCACCGTTGGCTGATTTACCACGATCGTTTATTTTGGTATTTGTATCTATGATGTTCTGTTTTCGTGGTAGTGCAGCAAATCCCTGTAAATCCCTTGCTGATAGACAGATTATTTACATTGTAGATATATTGCTATCATTTGATCAAAAATACCCATTTTATCTATCCAAATTGAATAAATTCAAAGAATTGATTTTTACTAATATAGCTTGGTTTTCCAGTAAATAAATACATACATGCATGCAAGTTTGGGAAACGAGAGAACTTCACACTGTTTGACTTTTAATTCTTCATTTGCAAAAAATAAAAGACAAAAAAAATGAAGCAAACAAAAAGATTGCTCTTTGTTTGAGATGTACAGACATTATGGAATTTAGTTTCACGATTTTATTCAACGGTTTTTCTACTATTAAAGCAGTTTAAAAAAAAAAAAGTGTAGAGATTTCACTTCATCATCTTCATCATCTGCACCGACAAATGCTGTTGAAGCCAGTAGTTGCTGAGGATTGCTAGCTTTCCGTTTATTTCGATGATTTCGAGTAACACTTAAGCCTTTCCTTTCCAGTAAATCATCCAGTGAACTCGCATTGACCGACCGCTTATATTCCTAAAATTTTGTAGAACAAACATAAGCATGCAAATACCTACACAGTACACAGTACTTCCAGGATCATTGTGTACTCTTGACTAAGTTCATTAATTTCATAAGTAATTTAAACTTTTAAATATGGTATTTAATATCCAGTTTTATTTAATTTATGCTAAACTTCTATTAATTTTTGTTATGTTTTCTTTTTGGAACAGAATTATTAAGCAGGCATGTTTGAAAAATACTAAAAATCAATAAGGCTCGAGTTATTAGACACAAATTAATCATTAGAAACTTTGATAAGAAATGACTACCCAAATAAAGAATTGGAACGAAAAACCGGAAAACCTGAAACAACAAACTAAGGGAAAATAACAAATTCAACAAAATGAAGGAGATGTAGAGAGCAATGCAACGGACTGTATACTTTCCTGCTTTCTTTCTCAACATTTGTATTTAATAGAATTTCTGTTTCTGCCTACATTATTGCAGTCGAACATGTACCTCGCAAAAAATATACTTTTAAGCGCATAAATATAACATTCTTCTCTTGATGTTGTCAATAGCACTCACTACAGTCAGAAACTTCAATCACAGACTGGTAAAAATAAAGTAGTTGCAATCGCTAACTCAATAAACATCCTTGAACTAGCATTTTATTTCTCTTATCTACTTCGTGAACTATTATCTCTTTGTTACCACTTTGATTTCTTTACTTGGTTCACCATTCCTCAATTCTTATTTTCTCGTCCAATCATTTTTTGCTTGCTTAACTTTTTTATTATTTGTAGATTTGTTCTTACAATAAATGTTTTTATGAAATATATGTTTACAAATGGTAGTCGTGTTAATTCGTAATGTCTATTGCAGACGATTTAAACATCATTACCATACAAAGCACAAATATCGAAATTTTCATTATCGCAGAAGAAAGTCTTTCAGTATATTATATATGATGTACTGAAAGTGTAAGATTGCTCTACGAATAACCGTCAGATATTTTGAGTATTCTTTAAAAAAAATGACAAATCTAGTACAGGTAGAACATGGACCAATAAGAAGAAAAACTGTACCTGTGAAGAGGTGGAATTTGGTGTTTTACTTGGAGATGCAAGAGAGGTACTTTTAACAGCGTTGGTATCAATGCTATTTGAAATTTGTTCATCCTCCTTCGACTCCACTTTTAAACCTATATTTATTGCTGTTGCTCCATCTTTTTGTACATTTATAACTTCTGCACTGTTTGTCACTAGAATTTAAAGATTGTCAAGCCACAAAATAAGCCTAAACATTCCGAAGAAAAATAAATAAATAAATTTCAACAATAACCATCCAAACTCTATTTGAAGTGGTGTGATTTGAGCAAAGTAATCATAAGTTACATTTTAATTTTTCTCGAAATAAGTGCAACTCAAATCTATAACTAAATCACTGGAAACACTTAAAGCAATATCAAACATTATCCACGATAAACCATTGTAAAGTGAATTCTGTCCTGTGTTCTTTAACTGCTGTTAAAAAAGACCTGTCAACAAATTGGTAGAATTAAAAGGCGCCACAGTAAAAGCATTATTTGCCAACCATGCTGTTAACCAGCTGTTCTGACCACTGGCATCCGTACTAATTGGTGTCAGCAAATTATCCGGCTGCAAAAATTACTCAGTGGTACTGTACATTTTTACAAAAATAGTTGAAGACAGCGAGTATATTTTAATGAAAGGGACTAGATTAATAACAAAAGACTACTTTTAAACATCCAGTATTTCGGAAAAATCGATAACTTGACAAACATTAAATGGTATTTGGCAATTGACACCTAGAACATCTTTCAAAAAAGCTTGCTCAGCGTACAATCCGAGTCAACATCAAGAAACGCATGAAAATCCGCCTCAATCCGTATGAAGTTTGGAAAGTGAAGAGAGTTAATGAAATTATGAAACCGATTTTTAGAAATGGGAGATATTTACCTTAGCCGTAAATCGAAATAAACTATCGGTATTGCTGAGCGTCGCTGGAAATATGGATCCGTCCAGTAAACCATTACCATTACCAAATAAGGAACTTTTAATATGTGTTTGTTCGCCTCGTGGTGATTCATTTCCACATCCATCTTGGGGGCTTACTGATGGACTTTCTTCAAGCTCTCTTGGTGACATTTCTCCTACGACTGTAAAAAGATAGAGGTGGCAATAATTTGGAGCATAAAAGTGACATTTTGTTTTATTTGATTTGCGAACCAATAAATGAACACCGGATTTCCTTATTAAAAAATAAGTTTAAATAGTAACTCTCAATGTAGAAGAGGACCTGACAAATATGTAGTAACAAATGATAATACATGAGTATGCTAGAAGTAATTAGAAAATTTTTTTAATACTTAAAAAAAGAACCAACCACCAGCCATTCCTGGACCATCATTAGAACTTCTCGCAAGAACAGAAACGTCACCGGGAGTACCATTCCGCAACATACTCTGCATATGTATATGCAAGCTTGTCTTGTCAGGATATGCCCAATTACAGCACCGACACATAAACATTCGTGAAATAGAATGTATCCGGAACATATGCGACCGGAGCGTTTCATTTCCAGAGCAGCCTGTTATCGTTAATGATAATAAAAGAGTAGTTTTTACATTACTTTCTATGAAAGGAGTAAAAAATATATGCAGAATTTTGTCTTTTTAATTTATATATTCATTGTCTAAGAAATTTCACAATGATGCTTTAACTTGAATGTTAAGAGTGCAAAAATTAAAATCAAAACCGTATCAAATGAATATAAAGTTTTGTTTCGTTTTACGCATATGAAATTTATAGGATTTCGAAATTAACAAACG